TTTCTGTGGGTGGCTTGATGAATAGAGATGGGTCATATATTTGAGAAGTTCTGAATTATAAAACTTTGATTTATCAGTCAAAGAAATTATAAATGAAAAGAAAATAATCTTTGCTCTCACTGTATGCTCCTGTTCATTAACAAGAAGGTTTTTCAGTCATTGTTTTATAACTTTTTAAAAATAACATCGTAATGAAAAAAACAGAAGTGTATGCCATATTTAAAATGCTTTCCTTTATTTCTGGAAAGAAAGTCAAAGGATAACATTCCCATTCTGCCTTACTGAGAACTATTAATACTAAGAAAAAAGCATATTAGTGTCTGACAAGTTCCATAGCAATATACATTATTATTTTAGTTTCTTTTTTTAAATGAACTTTTGAATGTGTTGGTGAAAGCATGGGATAAAGAGTTGCAATTTTGTTTTGAAATACTTTGGAAATGCATAGCTGTATTGCAGTTGTGGATCTCCTTAGATTTTAAGGAGGCTGCTTCAAAGGATGTCATTAATAATCTCCTCAGGTGCTTACAAAGCATGTGTCTGTCAGCAGAATTAGAGAATCACCCAACTAGAGAACAGGTTTCACAATACCCTGAGACCTATTTTGTTCATTAGAGAGGAAAATGGCTTGTTTTGAGTCTAAATTGACATGCTTGCTAATTTCAGCAGTAAAAGCTGTTCATTGTGGTCATGTTTAATTTAGAGCCTGGTAAGGTTCAGATTAAAGTTGATCAAGTTACTTTTACAAAATACTTCTTAAATGAGCTTTGAAATCCTAAAAAAGGGGAAAAGTATAAAAAACATTGAATAATGTATCTAAAAGTGAGAAGCAAAGAATAATATGATTGTTTGAGGGTGAATTAATATTAAAATGAAGAAAAATAACCTAATAAAGGTGATCTTTGTTATATACAAATTTCCAAGTATTAAAAAATAGTTTTTGGCCAGGCACGGTGGCTCACTCTTGTAATCCTAGCACTCTGGGAGGCCGAGGCAGGAGGATTGCTGAAGTTCAGGAATTTGAAACCAGCCTGAGCAAGAGCGAGATCCTGTCTCTACTATAAATAGAAAGAAATTAATTGGCCAACTAAAATATATAGAAAAATTAGCCAGGCATGGTGGCACATGCCTGTAGTCCCAGCTACTCTGGAGGCTGAGGCAGAAGGATTGCTTGAGCCCAGGAGTCTGAGGTTGCTGTGAGCTAGGCTGACGTCACAGCACTCTACCCTGGGCAACAGAGTGAAACTCTGTCAAAAAAAAAAAAAAGCACAGTTTTTCATTTCAGTTACACATCATTCCTAATACTTTTGTTCACTGCTACATACATAGCACTTGGAATGGCACATAGCACTTGAAAAGTATGTATTAAAATGAATTAGTAAATGAATGAAAATATTGTGTATTTTGTTAGCTATGTGTATTTAAAGTTCTTTATTAAATTTGAGGTGGAAAAATGACTTTATCTGAAGTTTCCGGATAAGTTTATTTTTAAAAATCTATTGAATATATTTAGACATTTTAGAGTAGGCAATTCCAAAGCAACCTTTCAGCTTGCTATGCCACAGATGACCAGAGTTTAACATTCTAACCCTAGAAAACATATTATTTCATAAAATCTGTCACTATATATGGTTCCTACTTAAAATTTATTCAGTACTCTCCAACTGACTTATGCCACTTACTTCAATAGCTGTCTTCGGCAATTTGTTCCATCTTTCAAACACCCTTTTGTGTAAAGAAACCATAAAAGTTAGAAACCTGAAAATTGGATTTTTCTTCTGAGCAATCACAGCTTACAAATGTGGAAAATTCGTTAAAAGTTAGCCCCTCCAATTTTTCAATACAGAGAGGGGAAAGTGCTCAAAATAGATGTACAATGTTTGGATAAGTTTTTTCCATTATTTTAATATTACCAAATGGATTGAGTTTAAATTACAAAGTCTATCTCACTACCTCTTCACAAAAGAAACACTATAGAATGATCAAAATTTGTCCTTTCCCAAACCAAAAACCCTATAAAGATGAATAGGAATCCAAGGGCATAGTAGATAACTAAATTTCATAAACATTATTATCTACCACATTTCATCTCTCCACTTTTCTTGGCCTCATGTGATAGTAGAAAGATCGTCATATTTCACATATCTAGAAAAAATAATTCTACACTTCTTATGGAACCAGAGAAGACACCATATAGCAAAAGTAATCTTAAGCAAAAAGGACAAATTGGGAGGCATCAATTTACCAGACTTAAAGTTATACTATAAGGCTATAATAACTAAAAGACCATGGTACTTGTATAAGAACAGAGACATAGACCAATGGATAAGAACTGAGAACCTACATATAAAATCATCTTCATATAGCCATCTAATCTTTGACAAAGCAGACAGAAACATACACTGGGGAAAAGAATCCTTATTCAATAAATGGTGCTGGGAAAATTGGATAGCCACATGTAGAAGACTGAAAAGGGATCCTCACCTTTTACTTCTCAAAAAATCAACCCATGGTGGATAACAGAGTTAAACCTAAGGCATGAAATTATAAGAAATGTAGAAGAAAATGTGGAAAAAACTCTTACAGAGATTGGCCTAGGCAAACAATGTATAAAGAAAACCCCAAAGGCAATCATAGCAACAACAAAAATAAATAAATGAGGCCTGATCAAATTAAAAAGCTTCCGCACAGCCAAGGAAACTGTCACAAGAGCAAACAGACAACCTACAGAATGGGAGAAAATATTTGCACGCTACATATCCAAAAATGAGCTGATAACTAGAATCAATTTAGAACTCAGTAAAATCAGCAAGAAAAAATCAAACAACCCTATCAAAAAGTGGGCAAAGGATATGAACAGAAATTTTTCTAATGAATACAGACTAATGATCAACAAACATGAAAAACTGCTCAACATCTCTAATCATTAGGGAAATGAAAATCAAAACAATGAGATATCACTTAACTCCAGTGAGAATGGCCTTTATCAAAAATCCCAAAACAATAAATGTTGGTGTGGATGTGGAGAGATAGGAATACTCATACTCTACTGGTGGGACTGCAAACCAGTACAACCTCTGTGGAAAGCAAAATGGAGATACATCAAAGAACTACAAGTAGAACTACCATTTGATCCAGCAATCCCATTATTGGGCATCTACCCAAAAGAACAAATGCATTTTATAAAAAAGACATCTGCACCCAAATGTTTATGCAGCACAATTAACAATTGGAAAGTTGTAGAAACAACCCAAGTGTCCTTCAATACATGAATGGATTAATAAAATGTGGTATGTGTATACCATGGAGTTCTACTCAGCCACAAAAGACAATGGTGATCTATCACCTCTTGTATTATCCTGGATAGAGCTGGAGCCCCTCTACTCAGTGAAGTATCATAAGAATGGAAAAACAAGCACCGCATGTACTCACCATCAAATTGGCATTAACTCATCAACACTTATGTGCACATATAGTAAGTAACATTCATCAGGTGTCAGGCAGATGGGAGGGGGAGGAGGGAATGCGTATATTCACACCTAATGGGTGCAGTGTGGATCATCTGGGGGATGGACACACTTGAAGCTCTGACTCGGGTGGGGCAAGGGCAATCTATATAACCTAAATATTTGTACCCCCATAATATGGCAAAATAAAAATAAAAATAAGACAGACTTCTGACTTGGTTATTAGTGTGGTTATTATGGGAATAAAAATGAGAAAGCATAAGTAAAACATCTATCACATAGCAGTTATAAACTAGTAGTAAATGTTATGTTTACTTTTCCCAATTAAAAAAAAAATTACTCAATTTTAGAACAGGAACAGGCAGATATGCCTGATTTTTCACTAATTTCTTTGTAAATATCTCTGAGATTTTGGCTCTTAGGTATAGAGACTAAGAGGAAAGAAATAATAGATAGACACTAAGAAAGGGAGGAATTTCCTGTTTCTCAATGATTTACATTGCTACCTATAAATAAAAAAAATTTTGATGGCTTTATTCTGCTTGGTATTTATATTTAAAGTGGTACAAAAATCAAAGCTATTTATAATACAGAGGAGTATAAATACTAACATCTGGTCTGATGCTTTCCAGACTTGCCTAATTATAAAAGTCAAGTAGAGAATTTGTGGGGTTTTTTTTTGCTGTTTTGGGTTTTTATTTATATTTTATTTTTTTATTTCAGCATATTATGGGGGTACAAATGTTTAGGTTACATATATTGCCTTTGCCCCACCCGAGTCAGAGCTTCAAGTATGTCCATCCCCTGACGGTGGACACCCATTAGGTGTGAATATACCCATCCCCTCTCTCCCCCTCTCACCTGCCCAATACCCGATGAATGTTACTACTAGATGTGCATATAAGTGAATTTGTTACAAATGCAACATTCCCAGTCCTTTCCCCTACTAATTTATTAGTTCTGGGGTGGAATAAAGAGTTTGATGCTTCTTATGGACGGGACAGGAAGCTTTGTAGAAAGACTGATAGAGCTCATCTACTTCATCTTGTCATTTTGCAGGCGAGAAATCTTGGGTACAAAGAAGTTAAATAAATAATTGCTTTTAAATTATTCTGTGCTTTTTCTAAAATAAATATACATCTTAATTTTGACACCACACAGAATGAGATTACAAGTATAAATAGCTGTCTTTCTTGTCAGAATTCAGAATTATGTTCCTTACTCATGGCACTCATATATTGGTTTAAGTAAACCCAGATACTCTGAAATGACTCTCTGTAAGCTTTTAAATAGTGAAGCAAATCTATAATCAAGAATTTCCTTTGAAGTATTTTTGGTATCTAAGAATGAAACACATTTCTTGTTAAATCGTTTTCTATAAACCCTTACACAGTAGAGATTTATATCCAGTAACATCTTTTTTATTTCTAAAAGTGTTTTGGCTGGTTTGAAAATTGTACTTTACTTTGTATTTCATGAAGGGAATGCACAATGCTAGAAAAACCCGGCATTAAGTGATATTTGTTCTTTTAGGCAACGCTGCAGGATTTGGAACAGAGGCGCCCCCAGTTGGAAGAACTTATTACTGCTGCCCAGAATTTGAAAAACAAAACCAGCAATCAAGATGCTAGAACAATCATTACGGATAGAAGTAAGTCTTTTATTAAGTCTTTTAAAAAGCATAGGGCACTCCAGGCAAGATGCATGAAAAGTTTCCGTAACAACTTAAGTTCATATACCATCATCACATTTATAAAAGTAATGTGAAATAATTGTAAATGATAAGTATTACACTGAATAAGATTTTCAGTCCATGGTGTTATTCTTTCAACAACTGAATGTATCCACTCAATAGAAGAAATATAATTTTTATCCGTTCAGGCCTTATATAGTTGCAAGGCATGGAGTGATGTGCATGGTAAGCCTAGTGTGGCTGAATATTTGCTCCTTAGTTGTCATCTCTCTGAGCTGGCATCCACGGAGGTGCCAGTCTCTCCCTCATATCCTTGATTGTTGGTCCAAACAAGCAGTTGCTTCCTGGATCATCTTTAATTCCTCTCTGCAGTGGTACTTTCAGATCTGGTTATCTCTCTGCTACTTTGATGCCCCCATTGTGTAATATCAGAAATCACTGTACTGTTCCTTATGCCATACTGGGGTGGGCGGTAACTTTGGAAAGGCCCATCTGGCTAGACATTATACGTGCTCTTTTCTTCTTTACACAAAGTGATTTGGAGTGATTGTGTATGGTGTCAGTAGGTGTGCATCAGGTCAGAAAGAGAGTTAGAGGGAGGAGTAGAGGAAACTGCCTGCCATGTAGTTTCCCTCAGAGGTTCTCCTCAGGAATGAGATCCAGGTCACCTCTGCTATCAGATTCTCTCAGATCTCCCTGGGTTTCCTCCTGTCCCTCCACCTACGTTCCCTCCAAGGACACATATTGCCTGCAAGGCTCTCTTTTCTCTTCCCGTAACCAGAGGAATCTTTTGTAGTGCAAGAATGAGGAAAATATTTCTTCTATCATCTTTTTTCTTCTAGATCTTTTGCCTTATGTCAGGCCTAGGCTTTTAAAACTCAAAAACCATGAATCTGTGTCTTCATAGTTTATATTCTTGTATGGAAATTAAGGCAGAATGACTGGCTACTAATATGTTGGGCGAGGGGAAACAGTACCCGGAGTAAAAGGTTAACATTTTAAAAAATGTATTAGTCATAATTCTACATATTAGGTAAATACTTAGTGATAATAGCTACTATTTATTCAGTACCTCATTAGTTCTATGTGGAGTGTTTGTGTATGTGTGTGTACAAAATCTTTACAGAATCCTGTAAGCTATATTTCACAATCCCCATTTTATAGATGAGAAAACAGTTCCAAGAACAGTTAATCAAATGGCTCAAGCTTACAAAACAAGCAAAGAACAGAGCTTGGAATTAGCAAATGCCTATTTCTAACTTGAAAGTCTGTGCTTCTTCTAGTATGTTTACTACTTCCCATCTTGTCTTTTTGCTTTTCTTAATGACCTTAATCACGAGGACTAAATAATTTTTTGGTCTGCAATTATGTATGTTTTGATTAACTTCCTAAAGACATTTCCTCTTTTGGTTATAGTGACTAACAATTAAAATACACTTTTCTTTGTTTTAAAATTCTAACTCTTTATTGTTGCTCAAACAATGAATTTGGATATATGCTAATGTATTAGGAGGGCAACACCAGCTACTATAACAGATAAACTCCCAAATCTTGGTTGCTTAGTACAGTAGAAATTTATTTCTTATCCTAGTACCATCCAAAATAAACAGCCCTCTATAAAGTCATTTAGGGACCCACATTTTTTCTGTCTTTTGTTTCCATAGTATCAGAGTCCTATGCATTTAATGGACAGATGAGGAATGAGTGCTGCTCATGGGAATTTTTCACGAGCCTAGAAGTGGTGTACATTAATTTTGTTAATAGTCTGTTGGCCAGAACTTGCCACATGGCCACACCTAACTGCAAAGGAAGTAGTAAAATATTGTCCAATATTGAGCCCAAGAGGAAGAATAGATTTAGTAAGAAACTTGTCAATCTCTGACACAGCTAATTTGGACAAGGAAGAGTACATTTACATTCCACGGGTCAGTGGAAGTTATAGGATGTCATTTCTATAACCAACAAGTCAAGAACAAAGTTGCCTGTTAATGGACAACATATATAGTTGTTCAATTAATATAGCAGAATGTTCTTCCCCCAAACTAGAACCTTGAGAGTTCTGTACCAGGTTGCAACACACTGGTCCACAAGAGTGAATCTTAGTAAGTGATTTATTCTATATGAAACTGTATTCCTATTAAACATGTAAGTAATCAGTTTCTTGCCTGAGAAATATGGAAATTTAGCAAAGATGTTTATGCAAATCCAAACATACTATATAAAAAGTCATTTTTTATTTTACTAATGAAAAATAACTTCTATTTTTCCCAAGAGGAAAATAGCACTAATGCATTTTATAATAACTATTAAACATTGTCTAAACATTTTCCATTATCCCTTGTAATCTTTTTTTTTTTTTGATATTGCATTGACTTTTTTTCATGGTGGAGATTAAAATTGAGTGACCAGAGGGCAAGTTTGTATCTCTCTGCTAATACCCAGTGATTTGAATAGTTCTGCCTGTTTAAGCTTTTGTCTTTTGGAAATGAATACCTTTATGAATGTTTGTAGTATAATGGAAAGATTCTAATCCAAATGGTCCAAAATAGCATTTTCTTAAAAGCAAGTGTCTGTTGAGACATGTCATGTTGCTTATTAAGAACCTGAGCTGGAATCTTACTTCCAAATATGCCTAGAGCCTCTAACGCTGGTACCAGTATAATTCTGACAAGAAATGTTTATCTAAACAATGTCATTTGCAGCCCTGCTATGCTTCAGTTTATCTCTCTATTTGAAATCTATGAAATGGGATGGAAATTCAATACTCATAAAGTTTCAATCGTGTTCAAAATAGAATTTTTCTTAGTATAGATTTGGTTTCCAGGGAAAGGACAGAAATAAAATACTTGCTCACAAAACCATATTTTCTCATTTGACAATTACGATCTTCCATTTTTACTGACCTGAAACTTCTAAAAATACTTTAAAAGGAATCAGCTTAATAAAGAAAATATTTAATATGTTTGTAATACTATATTGAAACATTTTTACCTCCTTGGTAAATCTCAGCTCTTAACTTTGAACAGTGGAGAAAATCTATACATACTTATTGCATTCTATCAAGAGAAAAATCCAGTAAAAAGCTATTTCTCTCTACTAGTAATATTCATGCTAAACCTCGGGTAATTGGGTCTGCAAACTACCCACATGTTTTACTGTATAAAACTATTCCCATGGTATCTGTTGCTTTCAGGTAATTATATTGATAGAAATTGTGTTGTAATAATACCGGTAAGAGAATAAATTTTATTGTGAGTTCAAATGAGAAATTTTTGCTGTTTCTAATGTTTAAATTGCTCATTTTTCTTTAATTCTTTGGTTGCTAAATTTGTCAACCATTCCTGGCCATTTTCTTCTGCAAAAGGGCTGAGTCAGGAGACCAAAAGTAGGTAAGATGAGAATAATTTAAATTTGCTTCCTTGGAGGTGTCTGAATTATGCAAAACTCTTGTTCATGTCCATTAAGACTGCAATGCATAATACCATAATACTTTACATAGTAGTGAAAAGGGTATGGAAAGAAATAACTGCTATCTTTTATTGCTCTATTTATTTCACAAATAATATTGGTGAATGTGGCTCCTCCAACATTTGTTGTTAAGAGCCTTGCTTCTGCAGCTTCTCCCTCCATAACCCCCACCACTACCATTTTAGGGATATATAGCAATAGCTCATATAGGTCTTGAGCACAGGCTACCTGGACCTGCCACTCATTAACTTTGTGTGCTTGAACAAATAACTTATCTTAGTAAACTATCTGATCTCAGTTTCCTTCTCTTCTAAATAGGATTACTTATATCTATCTCAAGGGTTGGGAGAATTAGATAGAATAATACATGTAGAGCACTTAGACCCATAATAAAAGCTCAGTGAATTCTGGCTCTTGTTAGTTTAATTATAGTCTATTCGGGTAGTTTGAATGCTTAGTGTAAAAGCATTTAGTGAGCTTTTTGGTAGCTATTTGATTATTTCACACATACCCCCCAAAAAAGAGAGATTTAAAAGACCAAAAGGAGAATGTTGCTTTAGAAAAGATGCAATAAAATATATAAATACAAGTAAACAAATTCATGTAATTTATTTCATTTTCAATATTCACAATAACCCTAGAAGTTAGATATTACTATTCCCATTTAGAGACAGAAAACTGAGGCTCAGAGAGCTTAAGTAACTTGGCTAGGGTCTTAGGAAGCTGAAAAGTGAGGAACCAAAATTCAAACCCATGTCTGTATAAGTTTAAGACCTAAGATACAGCAAATGGAAAAGAGTGGTTAGCCAAATAATAGGAAGAAATGTTTATTTAAAAACTTAGAATATTAGGACTAACCTTAGGTTATTATAATCTGGATATAATAATTTTGTACTGCTCCTATTTATACTTTTGTCTTCTATGTATCTGGGTGTCTGATTATAGAATTGACTCTTACACGTGTTGGAGCTGTACAGACTAGTGAACCCCAGTGATCTACTAGCTGTGTGCCCTTGGCTTAGTGAATTCACTTCCATAAGCCCTCATTTCCTCATCTGTCATGTGGGGCTAATTATAGTACTTAAGCTGGTAGAGTGATCATGGAAGTAAAATTACATGATGTTGCTAAAGTAAAGATATGGCACGTACTGGATGCTCATTAAATGTTACACATTTTCATGATGAGATGAATTTGGTACAGAGGAACTGAAGATGGGAGAGTATGAGGGCTGTATTAGATGGCCTTTTATCAGCTAAATCAAGAGAAGGACTCCTGAAACAGAATGTCAAATCTTAAGACAGAGTTGTTTCTTTGATATTATATTTTCAGCTAAAGAAATTCAAAGAAGTTTAGAATTCTTTAAGAAACTTAATGACATCTTATAAATTTTAAGAAAATAAATTCATATTCTATTGCTTAAAGAGCTGGTATACAGGGTCATAGAAGGGAATATGTTCTTCTGTATGAAAATAAAAATACTCTCACAGGATTTTTGAATTACCTGACAGTTTTATAGCAGCTTTATCAGCCCATCATTTATTGCTGCAACCAAATGTATGAAATTCTTCGTGGTGAAATAAAAAGACTCTGTTGTTCTCCACATTTTTATGAAATCTCTATTGCTAATGAAATGCCAGCCAGTATCTTCCTCTCAGGTATTGTCTATTAGAGAGTTGCTTATTTTAGAAGAAATAGAGTCAACCATATAAATTTTCTTCTTTTGACATCTAGCACCTGCTGTCAACCTGTTATAGCTACAAGCAGCTCTCAAAATTTACATCTGCTAGGATGCCACTGGCAACCAAAGATTTCAGTTCAGCAAACATTTGAATGCTTACTCTGTGCTAGTTAATATCAGAGGTGATGGAGGGGATACAGGGAGAAATAAAATTCAGCCTTTGTTTTAAAAGTACTCACAATCAAATGTGGGTATTTGGACTAGTATATTCATGCAAGGCAATCTAGGAAAAGTATTTGAGTAGAGCAGTATTACAAAATGTTGAGAGAGAACAAGAGGAGTGGAAATTGGCTCTGGATGAGGGGGTCTTGGAATGCTTCTGGAGGAGGTTCAATTTGATCTAGTCAGGAAAAGGACTTTGAAAGCAGAAAGAGGCTGGAGAGGAAAGGATATTTCAGAAAGAGATATCAAGAGGGTACATAATTAGACCTGTGCCAGCAATGGTGTGACAGATGAATCTGTCAGCATGGAAGTGTGTGTGTGTATGTGTCTGTTGTGAAGGATGATTAATGAAGTCACTGCAACCAATTAGGAGGCAAGAGAGCACAAACTAGAGTAGTGGCAGTGAAGTAAAAGGAATAACTAAAATTGCAATATATGGTGGAGGTAGAATTAACAGGATTTTGACATTGTTGCATGTATGAAGCTGAAGATGTAAGTAAGAGCTCGAGATTGAGTTCTTGGGAAAATGGTAATATCATAACCAGAGACAAACTCAGGAAAAAGAGTGAATTATGGGAGGAAAAGTAATGTGCTTAAGCTGCAGCTAGATGACCATAATGAGATGTTAAAGGAATGGTTGAAAAGACAAGTAGAGATTTCAGGAGCAAAGGTACTTCTGGACACCAATTTGGAAGTTACCTAGAGTGGATGAGCTTGCACAGAGAAAGGGCGCCAAGGGAAAAGAAAAGTGGACCTAGGGAAGAAACTAGAAGTTGGCTTCCATTTGAGGAACATAAGAAGAGATAGCACTACTCCTCCAGTGCCAACTTGCACTGTAGGTGCATTTAGACACACACACTGATAAATGAATTTATAGGAGCAACACTGTTTTATTTTCTTTTCCTTCTGCTGTACAACCATTAAAAACATTAAGTTTCGGAGGTTCAGGCCAGTTGTGCCGTTGCGAGGCTGCTGCTGCGATCGCTGCGGCGAACCTAGAAGTGTATCCTGACGTATAAATTGGAGAAACCAGTGGTGCTGCCAGAATTTTTTTGAGGTAGTGTCTGGGATCCAGTGCAAGTTGAATCATTGTTCAGATAAGAACAATAAACACCTTTATTACATGAACTAAGACAGGACAGAGGAGGAGTTATTTGCCTTTCCGGGCCTTGATTTTCCTCAGGTGTAATTGAAAAGTGACCCTCTCTTCAGAGATGTCAAAAACAAACAAATCCAAGTCTGGATCTCGCTCTTCTCGCTCAAGATCTGCATCAAGATCTCGTTCTCGTTCATTTTCCAAGTCTCGGTCCCGAAGCCGATCTGTCTCTCGTTCAAGGAAGCGAAGGCTGAGTTCTAGGTCTCGGTCCAGATCATATTCTCCAGCTCATAACAGAGAAGGAAATCACCCAAGAGTATATCAGAATCGGGATTTCAGAGGTCACAACAGAGGCTATAGAAGGCCCTATTATTTCCGTGGGCGCAACAGAGGCTTTTATCCATGGGGCCAATATAACCGAGGAGGCTATGGAAATTACCGCTCAAATTGGCAGAATTACCGGCAAGCATACAGTCCTCGGCGGGGTCGTTCGAGATCACGGTCCCCAAAGAGAAGATCTCCATCACCAAGGTCCAGGAGCCATTCTAGAAACTCCGATAAGTCTTCTTCTGATAGGTCAAGGCGTTCCTCATCCTCTCGTTCTTCCTCTAACCACAGTCGAGTTGAATCTTCTAAGCGCAAGTCTGCAAAGGAGAAAAAGTCCTCTTCGAAGGATAGCCGGCCATCTCAGGCTGCTGGGGATAACCAGGGAGATGAGGCCAAGGAGCAGACATTCTCTGGAGGAACCTCTCAAGATACAAAAGCATCTGAGAGTTCGAAGCCATGGCCAGATGCCACCACCTACAGTGCCGGCTCTGCATCACGGGGCTCAGCAGTATCTGATCTGAGTCCTCGGGAGCGAAGTCCAGCTCTCAAAAGCCCCCTCCAGTCTGTGGTGGTGAGGCGGCGGTCACCCCGTCCTAGCCCTGTGCCAAAACCTAGTCCTCCACTTTCCAACACATCGCAGATGGGCTCAACTCTGCCGAGTGGTGGGTATCAGTCTGGGACACACCAGGGTCAGTTTGACCATGGTTCTGGGTCCTTGAGTCCATCCAAAAAGAGCCCTGTGGGTAAGAGTCCACCAGCCACTGGCTCCACATACGGCTCATCTCAGAAGGAGGAGAATGCTGCTTCAGGAGGAGCAGCCTATACAAAGAGGTTCTGGAAGAGCAGAAGACAGAGAATGGAAAAGATAAGGAACAGAAACAAACAAATACTGATAAAGAGAAAATGAAAGAGAAAGGGAGCTTCTCTGATACAGGCTTGGGTGATGCAAAGATGAAATCCGACCCATTTGCTCCCAAAGCTGATTCTGAGAAGCCTTTTCGGGGCAGTCAGTCTCCCAAAAGATATAAGCTCCGAGATGACTTTGAGAAGAAGATGTCTGACTTCCACAAGGAGGAGATGGATGATCAAGATAAAGACAAAGCTAAAGGAAGGAAGGAGTCTGAGTTTGATGATGAACCCAAATTTATGTCTAAAGTTATAGCAGGTGCAAACAAAAATCAGGATGAGGAGAAGTCAGGCAAATGGGAGGGCCTGGTGTATGCACCTTCAGGGAAGGAGAAGCAAAGGAAAACAGAGGAGCTGGAGGAGGAGTCTTTCGGAGAGAGATCCAAAAAGGAGGATCGGGGAGGGACCAAGAGAACCGAAAGTGGGCACAGGGGGTTTGTGCCCGAAAAGAATTTCCGAGTAACTGCTTACAAAGCAGTCCAGGAGAAAAGCTCATCACCTCCCTCGAGAAAGACCTCTGAGAGCCAAGACAAGCTGGGAGCCAAAGGAGACTTTTCCTCAGGGAAGTCTTCCTTTTCCATTACTCGAGAGGCCCAGGTCAATGTCCGGATGGACTCTTTTGATGAGGACCTTGCACAACCCAGTGGCTTATTGGCTCAGGAACGCAAACTTTGTCGGGATCTAGTCCATAGCAACAAAAAGGAACAGGAATTTCGTTCCATTTTCCAGCACATACAGTCAGCTCAGTCTCAGCGTAGCCCCTCAGAACTGTTTGCTCAGCATATAGTGACCATTGTTCATCACGTTAAAGAGCATCACTTTGGGTCCTCAGGAATGACGTTGCATGAACGCTTTACTAAATACCTAAAGAGAGGAACTGAGCAGGAGGCAGCTAAAAACAAGAAAAGCCCAGAGATACACAGGAGGATAGACATTTCCCCCAGTACATTCAGAAAACATGGTTTGGCTCATGATGAAATGAAAAGTCCCCGGGAACCTGGCTACAAGGCTGAGGGAAAATACAAAGATGATCCTGTTGATCTCCGCCTTGATATTGAACGTCGTAAAAAACATAAGGAGAGAGATCTTAAACGAGGTAAATCAAGAGAATCAGTGGATTCCCGAGACTCAAGCCACTCGAGGGAAAGATCAGCTGAGAAAACAGAGAAAACTCATAAAGGATCAAAGAAGCAGAAGAAGCACCGGAGAGCACGAGACCGGTCCAGGTCATCCTCCTCTTCCTCCCAGTCCTCTCACTCCTACAAAGCAGAAGAGTACACTGAGGAGACAGAGAAAGAGAGGAGAGCACCACAGGCTTTGACACAATCGAGACTGGGGACAAAAACTTCGTGGTCAAGTGAAGAGGAGGCGGCAGGGCTCGAGGAAACTTTTTTCGAGCCAGAGGGAGAGGCTGGGGCAGAGGTAACTACTCTGGTAACAATAACAACAACAGCAACAATGATTTTCAAAAGCGAAACCGGGAAGAAGAGTGGGACCCAGAGTACACACCCAAAAGCAAGAAGTATTACTTGCATGATGACCGTGAAGGCGAAGGCAGTGACAAGTGGGTGAGCCGTGGCCGTGGCCGAGGAGCCTTTCCCCGGGGTCGAGGCCGGTTCATGTTCCGGAAATCCAGTACCAGCCCCAAATGGGCCCATGACAAATTCAGTGGGGAGGAAGGAGAGATTGAAGACGACGAGAGGGACAGAGAACGAGAAGAGAGGACAATTTACAGCCCACAACTGAGTAGGGGCCACTCTGGACACGATCCCTGGCCCAGGGGAGAGAGGCGCTGGGAAGATGGCTGGTTGAGGAGCTAGACAGGAGCCTCAAGAAGATTCTGAAAGTCCCACCCCCACCTCACTAGCCATGCAGAATCCTACTACAGCAGAAAGCATCCCTGGCGCTGTGTCCCACTGGACAGAGGAGGCTGGCCATGGAGCCTGGGGTCAGGCCCAGCTCTTGAGCAGAACACAACACATGGGCTCTAGCTGTGTTTCTCATTTATTGTGGTGTGAGGGGTGGGGGCAGGGTAGGGAGGGAGAGTGATGTTTGGATTTTGGTTTATTCCTATTAGAAACCAACAGTTTTGTTCTTAATTTCATTTCATTTGAGCTAAGAGGACTAATTGATGGTTTCAATCTCTTCTTCCCTGTCCTGATTTTAAAAGCCTTCTTTTTTTTTTTTTCTTTTCTTTTTTTAGGCATATGTAGTAATATTAGAAAGATTTAATTTGGGCAACTTTGATTCTTAAAAGAGAAACAAGCATGTGAATAAACGTTGAAGCGTTCACCTCAGTTGGACCAACTGCTTGGATCTTTGTAAAAACGGTTTTGTATTCAAGGAGGAGTTTAAGGCCTTTCTGACCACCTTGTGTTCCCCTTTTCCGTGCGCCATGTATCACGTGGAGTTGCTCTAGCCGCATCCTACATGTCCATATGCCCGTGTTTTCTGATTTCTTCTGGCTGGGTTTCCATTCTCCACCAGCAGCTCCAGCATCCAAACTTTCTAGTCATGCTGATCCTCTCAGCAGCAGGGGTGGAAATGGAGGGCAGTTTCTGGTCTGTTTTCTAAGAAACTTATGAATTCTATTATCGTTTACAAATATAAATGAGAAAATAATTTTTTCAATATTTTTATTAATCTTTTTATAAAATGAAAAGAACTCCTATGATCGATTAAGGAAGGTGGTTATGGGCTGGTGGTTCATGGGTTCTTTTGGGATTTTTTTCTTTTTTCTTTTTCCTTTTTAACCTTAAGCTTTAAGTTGAAACATTCTCAGATGTTTTGGGGGGGAAACATCCTCTTAAAATGGGTTCTTGTGCTTGCCTTCTGGGGAGGCGGTCCGGAGCGGGTGGATCATAGGCATTTATGCATATGTTATATGCGGACTGCACCATCTCTCCCCAGCCTTTGCTCTTGGGTTGTTGTGCTTCTTTCCCTTACTTGCTACATTTCTATAGTAAGTTGGTTTTTCTTGAATGATTCATGTTTAGGGAAAAATGAAAATCTCCTTAAATTTGTTTCAACTCCTCCTGCAAATAAAAAAAATAAATGAAGTGGCAGATGTAAAAAAAAAAAAAAAAAAAAACATTAAGTTTCCTACTGGTTATTAGTGATACTTGCAATAAAATAAAATATGGAAACTCTTTAGCTGAGAGTTAAAGATTGCTCTGTTAATGTAAATAAGATTTCTGATGCAACCTTCAATATACTAGTAAAAATAGCCATTACCATTTCATGTCTAGGTATAATGAACACTGTAGCTTTTATTTTTATATCTCTAAGGTATTTCACAAATTATTTACAAAAGTAAGAATAAAGAGATAGTGAAAAACAACTTTATAAGAATTTTTTTTTAATTTCAGAATATTATGAAGGTACATTTAGGTTACATATATTGCCTTTGCACAGCCCAAGTCAGAGCTACAAGTTTGTCCATCCCACAGACAGTGGGCACCACATTCATTACACGTGAAAATACTCATCCCTCCTCCCCCTTCCCACCTACCTGATACCCAAAGAATGTTTCTTCCATATGTGCACATAAGTATTGATCAAATAATACCAATTTGATGGTGAGTACATGTGGTGCTTGTTTTTCCATTCCTGTGATATTTCACTTAGGAGAATGGGCTGTAGCTCCATCCAGGATAATACTAGAGGTTTTAGCTCACCATTATTTTTTGTGTACCACATGTTATTAATCCACTCATGGATTGATGGGCACTTGGGTTGTTTCCACATCTTCGCAATTGTGAACTGTGCTGCTATAAGCATTCTAGTTCACATGTCTTTTTTATAGAATGTCTTTTTTACCTTTGGGTAGATGCCCAGTAATGGGATTGCTAGATCAAATGGTAGTTCTACATGTAGCTCTTTGAGGTTATCTCCATATTAATTTCCATAGAAGTTGTACTAGTTTGCAGTCCCACCAGCAGTATATGAGTGTTCCTATCTCTCCACATCCATGCCAGCATTTATTGTTTTGGGACTTTTTGATAAAGGCCATTTTCACTGGAATTAAGTAATATCTCATTGTGGTCTTGATTTGCATTTTGCTGATGATTAGAGATGTTGAACATTTTTTCATATGTTTCTTAGCCATTAGTCTATCTTCTTTTGAAAAGTTTTGCTTATGTCTTTTACCCACTTTTTAATGGGGTTGTTGATTTTTTCTTGTTCATTTTCCTGAGTTCTGTATAGATTCCAGTTATCAGCCCTTTATCAGATTTATAGCATCCAAATATTTTCTCTCATTCTGTAGGTTGTCTATTCACCCTAGTGATAGTTTCTTTGGCTGTGCAGAAACTGTTTAATTTGATCAGGTCCCATTTATGTATTTTTGTTGATGCTGTGACTGCTTTTGAGGTCCTCTCATAAATTCTTTGCCTAGGCTAATGTCTATAAGAGTTTTTATAAAACTTACTTCTAGAATTCTTATGGTTTCATTCCTTAGGATTAAGTATGTTAACCATCATGAGTTGATTTTTATGAGAGGTGAGAGGTGCTGATCCTGTTTCAGTCTTCCACATGTGGCTATCCAATTTTTCCAGTACCATTTATTGAATAGGCATTCTTTCCCCTATTATATGTTTTTGCCTGCTTTGTCAAAGATCAGGTGGCTATATTAGGATGTTTTTATACCTGGGTTCTCAGTCCTGGTCCATTGGTCCAAGTCTGTGTTCTTGTGCCAATACCATGCTATTTTGTTTACTATAGCCTTATAGCGTAACTTGAAGTCTGGTAAGTCGATGCCTTCCAATTTGTTCTTTTTACTTAGGATTGCTTTAGCTATACAGGTTCTTCTCTTATTCCATACAAAGCACAGAATTATTTTTTCTAGATCTGCAAAAAATGATGTTGTTATTTTAATAGGGATTGCATTGAATCTGTAGATGACTTTGGGTAGTACAGAAATTTCAATAATATTGATTCTGCAAATCCATGAGCATGGTGTGGCTTTCCATCACTTTGCATCCTCTGCTATTTTCTTCCTTAGTGTTTCATAGTTCTCCCTGTAGAGGTTTTTCACATCCTTAGTTAAATATATTCCTAGGTAGTTTATTTACTTTGTTGCTATTGTGAAAGATATAGAGTATTTGATTTGGTTCTGAGTTTGACTGTTGTTGATGTATATGAATACTACCAATTTGCATACCCTTATTTTATAACTTAAGACTTTTCTGAACTTATTTAAAAATTCCAGTAGTTTGTTGGCATTTTCTTTTGAGTTTTCTAGATATAAGATCATATCATCAGCAAAGAGCAATTTTTGAACCTCTTCTGCTGACATTTGGATTCCCTTGATTTTCTTCTCTTATATGATAATTCTGGCTAGGATTTCTAGCACTATGTTGAATAGAGAGGTGATAGATGGCAACCTTCTCTGGTTCCAGTTCTAAGCAGAAATGCTTTCAGTGTTTTCCTCTTCAGTATGATGTTGCCACTGAGTTTGTCATATATGGCTTTTATGATTTTTAGGTAAGTCTCATCTATACCTATTTTGTTAAGTGTTCTTATTATAAAAGGGTGCTGGATTTTGTTGAATTCTTTTTCTGTGTCTATTGATAGGATCATATGGTCTTTGTTTTTACTTCTGTTTATGAGGTGAATTATATTTATAGATTTGCATATGTTGAACCATCCCTGCATCCCTGGGAAAACACTTAATAGTGATGCATTATTTTTTTCATGAGCAGATAAAATTGATTTGCTAAGATTTTATTAGAAGTTTTACATCTATATTCATAAGAGATATTGGCTTGTAGTATTCTTTTTTTGTTGAGTCCTTTCCTGGTTTTGGTATCAAGATGATATTGGCTTCATTAAACATGTTTGGAGGATTCCTTCATTCTCAATGTTGTGGAATAATATCTGCAGGGTAAGCACCAGTTCTTCTTTGTAGGTCTGGTAGAATTTGGGTGTGAAACCATCTGGTCCAGGATTTTTTTTTTCTTAGAAAGGTTTTTTTATTGCTGCTTTGATTTCAGTACTAGATATTGGTCTGTTCAGGAGTTCTATTTTTTCCTGATTGAACCTAGGGAGGCTCTGTGTTTCTAAGAATTTGTCTTTTCCTCCATTTTTTCAAGTTTATGTGCATAGATTTTTATAGTATTCAGCGTTGATATGTTGTATTTCTGTGGTAGCAGTTGTAATTTCTACTTTTTCATTCCTGCTTGAGTTTATTAGAATCTTTTTTTTTTTTTTTTTTTTTGCTTCTGGCTAATCTAGTGAGAGGAGTGTCAATTCTTCTTATCTTTTCACAGAACCTGCTTTTTGTTTCATTAATCTTTTATATAGTTGTTTTGTTTTCAATTTCATTTAGTTCTGCTCTGATCTTGGTTATTTCTTCTGCTTGGTTTGGGTTGGTTTGCTTTTCTTTTTCTGGTTCTTTGAGGTGTTTCATAAGATTGTTAAATTGTGATCTTTCTATATTTAGTTGTAGGCATTTAAGGCTATGCATTTCCTCTCAGGACTACTTTAGCTGTGTCCCATAGATTCTTATAACTTGTATCCCCTTTATTATTTAGTTCAAAGAATCTTTTTATTTCCATCTTAATTTCTTCCTTTAACCAATAATTATTCAGCAGTAGGTTGTTTAGTTTCCATGACTTTGTGTAGAGATGAGAGTTCCTGTTGAAGTTTATTTTTAATTTTATTCCACTGTTGTCTGAGAAGATGCATGGTATAATTTCTTATTTTTTTAATTTGTTGAGACGTGTTTTGTGGCCTAGGGTGTGATCAATCTTAGATAATGTCCCATGAGCTCATGAGAAGAAAGTATATTCAGTGGTTTTGGGGTAGAAAGTTCTGTAAGTGTCTGTTAGGCCCATTTGTTCTTGAGTTCTGTTTAAGTACATTGTTTCTATGTTTATTTTTCTGTTTGAAAGGTCTGTCCTGTCAGTGGGATATTGAAGTCTTCAGCTATTACAGTTCTGCTGTTTGCCATTTTGTTTATATTGAGTAGGAATTGCTT